TTAAGTGTTCACCAGGGTCTCGCAACCCACGTGCTACTGTGACGTGATGCTGTATATGGGGGAGGGGTCCGAGAAGGAATAATGCCACTTGCTCAACTCTTGACTGGCTTTCAGTCACTTCCCCTGATACCCACAAGCAAATCAGACCCTTTCAGTGCTGATTCCCAGGTGGGTGGGTTTATGTACATTCAAGGACTCTGTGGGTCTCTCCAACAGACTCTCCTGTAAGGCTGGAAGTTTCTCCTGCTGCCGCCTCAACCCCTACAGGTGTTTTCAGTCAGAGGTTTTGAGGCTTTATTTCCCCGAGCTGGAACCCTGGGTTGCTCAGTCTCTCTCGCTCCCCAGGTGTTCCTCCCGGTTTATCTGCACACAAACATGGGACCGCCCGGTCCTCCAGCCTCCGCCTTGCTGAGAGTCCTCTCTGCCCTCGCTGCCTAGCTCCACCCCTCCTATCAGTCTGGATGAATGTTTCTTCCTTGACTCTTTGGTTGTCGGACTTCCATACAGTTTGATTTTCTGTCAGTTCTAGTTGTTTTTTTTTTTTGTTTTTAAATTTGTTGTCCTTCTTTTGGTTATGCGAGGAGGCACACTGTGTCTACCTATGCTTCTATCTTGGCCAGAAGTCCTTGACATTCATTTTTATTATAATTCCCTCATCTGGTTGGTTGAGTTTAATTGTAATTACTTAGCAATAAAGTTTCTTCTTCAAGCATAGTAACTGAACACATAAAAAAGAATTATAAGCAGCATTAAAAATACTTTCACACATATTATCGTTCATAAATGGCCATCAGCCTGTTCGCACGCACACACAGCCAGTACGGGCGTGGGCCACGCTGCAGCCAGGCGCGGAAGTTAAGGGCACGGGCCTGAGGTCTGGGCTCTGCCACAGTTACGAGCTGTGTGGCACTGTGGACACCGCTCTTCGCCTCAGGTCACTCATTTATCAAATGAGAATAACTGTCTGTACCTTACAGACTTACCGTGAGAGTTACATTAGTGGTCACACAGGAAGCACTCGGGACAGTGTTTGGTGCACCTGCAGTGCTCAGTAATGGATTGGCTGCTGGCGCTGTCATCATCACGATCACGGTTATGATTATTACGATCACAAAGCTACAGGCAATCAAGTTTGTTCGATCTTGCTTTGCCTTACTGCTGTTTAAAAAATTTTTTTCTTCCTGCCTTGGCTGGGTGGTTCAGTTGGCTGGAGCCTCATCTGCTACAACAAAAAGGTTGTGGGTTCGATTCCTGGTCATGGCATACACCTAGGTCGTGAGTTTGATCCCAGGTCAGGACACAAGCAGGAGGCAACTGATCAATGTTTCTCTGTCTCTCTCAAGAATCAATGAACATATCCTCGGAAGAGGATCAAGAAAAGATTTTTTTCCTCCTCTAGAAGTGTGCTCCACGTTCAGGACCGAGAAAGGCATCAGACTGTACTCTTTAACAAGGGAACAGGCTCCCTCAGGGGACGTGAGCCATGCTGTGCTCACTCTCCCGAGGCTGGGGAGCGATCTGCTACCGGCGCTGCCGTGCTGGTCCCGGCACTGTGCGGAGGCTGGGCGAGATCCTTCCCAGTCCCCACTCGAATCAGGGACGACGTGAATCATTCTGAGGTTCCGCCCCATGATTCCGTGACTACTCACCAGGTACCCCCTGGTGCAGGGCTGAGCAGCCGCGGCCTTGCCAGGAACCGCCGACACGCCCTGAGCTGAGGGGGAAACGCACACTTTCCCTGAAAAGCAGAAATCTTTAATTTCCTCCTGTGTTCTGAAGAGTGAGTTGCCATAGGAGTAAAGCAAGTTTGGTGACTCAAGCCTGGGCAATTCTAGAAAGGAAATTGTGAGATTACGTGTTTGCTGAGGAAGGACGCCCAGTCTGCCAAGAGAGGGAGCACAAGAGCAGAAAGCGTGCGTGCCCGAGTCCTTCTCAGCACACTCGCCTGGGTTCTGTGTTTTAGTCTTGGGTTTCTTGGGCAAGAGTGGGACAGGACCAAAGGACAGTCACAGCCAACCTTCTCTTTGTAAGGCCATCCCACGATGGGAGGGCAAACACTGAGGACACACTCAGAACAACGCGCCTCGACCCTCTCCCGACGGAAACGCGCACCTGCGGCCTGCCTGCCCCGAGCAAGCAGCTCCAATGAAACTGCTTTCATTAAAAGAAAAGGGAGGAGGAGAAACATTTACACAGTCAATAAAAATGCAGTTTTACTTCTCTCCTAGCTGCCATGGATTGTTAAAAAAAAAAGCATTTGCAGTACATATAATCTAGAGCTCACATTCACCACCACAACGGAGAAGTTACTGACATAACCGAGTGTAATGAAAGTTACCCACTCCCTAGGGACTGAACGCTCCTTCCTGCCAAGCAGGAGGAGTGATGTGGGCGCCTAGAACCCTTTGTGGAAACAAGTCTTTGATTCACACTCATTAGTCACTAGTGTTGGGTGAATGAATGCCTGTGTAAGACAAGGAGATTTCTCTGAGACACACATCTCCATACAAAGTCGTTTTTCTCTTTTTTTAAAGAAGATTCTTATTTATTTTTAGAGTGAGGGGGAGGGAGGGAGAAAGAGAGGGAGAGAAACATCATGTGCAAAGCAGACATCAATCGGCTGCCTCTCGCATACCCCCAACTGGGGACCTGGCCCACAGCTCAGACACGCGCCCTGACTGGGAATAGAACCGGCGACCCCTTAGTTCACAGGCCGGTGCTCAATCCACTGAGCTACACCAGTCAGGACCAAAGTCAGTTTTCAACACAAACTTGATTTTGCCTTTGGAAAGACAGCTTTGACAAGCTACCCATTTGGGCATGCTTCAAATCCAATTTGGAAGAATTCTGCAAATTTATATATTTTTAGTTTGAGCAACACATTCAGTCTCTTATTTTACTCAAATCACTCTGTTCGTGCTAGCTTAAGAAACCAGCACACTTTAAAAATGCACAGAGCTGAACATTTTCAAAAATATTTATATGTTATATAAACTAATTAGGCAGAATAATACACTTTGATTTATTTGATAGTTTAATGAAACAGCTTCTTTTTTTACTGTTGCCTGTTGAATTAAAGCAAAATGATAGGATGCATTAATCTAAAGAAGAAAGTTAGTGTTCAGCAACTTCCTGAGATCTGGTTTGACTTCCATATGCCTTTCAACAATGCTCTAAGACCCTTCTGGTACATGCTCTGAACCTGGGAAATCCATGATCTTGGATTTAGTTGTTAATGGATTTACAACAGAAAAGAGGTCATCCCATGATAAAATTCTTCTTAAAGGACAACCTTTAACATGGGATTACTTCCCCCACTAAGGCAGAAGGCGAGGCCAGCGGGGCCTCTGGAACGAGCAGTGCACACAGCTGGCCCGGCGACGCCGGGTCCTCGGAGGAGGCGGCCTCCGAGCGCAGGAGCGGGTTTCACAGGCTACATTCTTCTCCTTTATTTGGGCCCCCACGTGGAAGACAGAGTACTTTCCAAAACGATTAAGTGCTCTCATCAACCAGCCAGTTAGAGTATTGGTCCTGAAGGAAAAATGTAATAAGCTCTTCTGTTAGCGCCAGCTGTCAAAAACTGTGAGATCTTTGATGTTTCAATCAAATCCTGAAAGGAGTGGAAAGTCACTGCACAAAACCCACTAAGCTGCATTACTAAATGTCCAACGTTACATAAAAACTATAAATAACTTGGTACTTTTAGTTTTTTTTCAATTTGCTTTTCTTGAAGTAATAATAATGTTCTGCTTCAGTTAACAAAGTAATTTTGAAAGCTGCCTTAGTGTTTCATCTACATGCTCTTTCTGTGTGGGATAAAATGGCTACCAATATTCAAAAGCATTCCTTTGAGTATCTGTCATTAACAATTTTAAAAATTAAGAGAAGATCACCAAAGACAACAAAGGCTAAAAACTATTAAATACTAGGCTTAATAATCTTACAAGCTGACTTTCCTCTGGCAAATACAATGCTGATCTATGAAGGGTATCTCGTCCTTTTCAAACATCCGCGAAGGAATTCCTACTCTGGGCAAAGGAACATCACTTACCACGGGCTTAACAACAACAAGCCAGTGGCCAACGCTGAGCACACACAAGCACCTCAGTGCTCAAAAACTGAGTACTGAGTTAAGAAGGATTTGCTTCCACACAGTGAAACAGCCCGTATTCTCAGGCCGTGGTGGACGGAACAGCTGATCTAAAGGCACCAACGAGAAGGCGGGTGGTTGACGTTTGCTCACAAGGAGGCTGAAGGAAGCTGAGGACCAGATTCACACCATTTAAACAACAATGAAATGCTTTTTTTCTTAAGATTTGTTAAAAGAGGTTTCCTTCTACACCCTCTTGGTAAGTTCTTCCTTGGATCCCGACTCTTCTTGTGATAGCTTCTAGAATAATCCCATGCTAGTAAGTTTCTCTGATTACTAAGAAAGAGGCTTTCAAACAAAAACTATGAGTAGGTTACACTTGGAAACAAGGATCCAAAGCCATAATCCAGCTTGTATATTTTGTACAGGGGAGAAACCATTCTCTTCATTAATTTTTTCCCAGGATAGCTAAAAAAACCTAACTAACTCAAGATAAACATGCTAATAATGAAGTTTGAGTTTTCAAATATAAAGGAAAAACATTTTGAAAAGTATCTGCAAACTTAAATGAAGCAAATGGTAGCATATAAATTTATTATCTTTCTTGAAAGAAAAATTAAATCTTCACGTACCTTGTCCAAACGAAGCAGAGACTAGAAGCACTCTGAACTCTTGAATTTTACCTGGAATCCTGTGCTAACTTTTTAGCATATGATAACATCAACATTTATGACAATTTCTATACTTAAATTAACAGTTCCCAAGACCTAAATACTATTTTAGATTTTTGGTGAAAATAAGCAATAATCCTTAAATTTAATACATTATTATAACATGAATAGTTATTTAAAAAGTAAAGTTTGACACTATATAACTTTTAAACAAACAGCCATGATATGTATACCAACTTTTATTTGCCTTAGACAATACAAATAGAACAAAGATGTTATTCAAAATATTAAATGTTCTTGAATTTTACAGAAGAAAAAGAAACTGAAGTGAAACTGTAGAAATTGCTGAACTTCAGATAAATGTTTCTTCAAAACAAGAGATATTAGTTCCTAAAAGATTCTTCTAAAGTTAAAAAAAGATTAAGAAAAACATTAAGCCATTGGGTTATTATATTTTTTAAAAACTACATGTTTCTTAATGGACATATGTTTACATTTACAGATAGTAAACTTAGTCACCTGTCTCATAAAACTCAGAAGATACCACTAATGTTTAAACTAAGCAAAACTAAAAGCCATTTTTTTGTATTAAAAAAAACCTTTAAAACCTAAATCTGCCTTAACGTTATTTTTCAGGAAAACGTCGCAGGGAATGGCTGATCTGAAAGTACGAGGCGTATAAACCCCTTTCAAGAAAAGAACTACATCCCAAAAGTCTGCCTACGGCTCGCTGCGCCGGCTCCAGCCCTGCGTGAGGACAGACACTCAGAGCACCAGCCGGTCCTCGCCTCCCTCCTGAGTTACCTGACCGAAGGCAGTCTGGCTTTGTTGTTGCAGAAAGCACTGTTTCTTACATTCCATCAATTGCTCAAAATCACGCCACATTTTCACTTGCTTCATATTCGGACCATGACTTTCTCGTACAGCTTTTTGTTTTTCCCGAAGTTTCTATTACAAAAAAAATAAAAAATAATTAAATTTCACTTACAGGGATTTACTTCTATTGCCATAATCAAAAGAATATGATACGCTTTGTACAACTGATGAACGAATAGTTAAGTAAACCAGGTTCTTCTATGATGTATGAAAACTCAGATTATACAAGTGAATTACATTTATGGTAGGTACAGGACAAGCTGAAGTTAAAAAGAGCAGAAAAATATAAAAGAAAGGATTGGGCAGAGAACATAAATGCACAAGCCACAGACGCAGACCACAGTGAGGTGCTGGCCAGAAGGAGGGCAGGTGGGGGCTGGGGAGGAGCGGGCAAAGAGGGGGAAATGGGGGCATCTGTAATAGTGTCAACAACAAAAGCAAAAAAAAAATATATAAAAGAAAAGGAGGGGAAGCGGGGAAGGGAATCCGGAAAATGGAACAGTACCACGGCGTAGAAACAAAGAACGCAGATTTTGGGAATCAGATGACTTGCGTTTCAACCTTGGTTTTGCCACAAGCTCTAAGTAAGACACTTAATTTCTCTGAACTTTAGTTTTCTAAATGGTCGATTAAGGCTAATATGAGGGGACACTTATAAAAGCATCTGCCTTATGAGGTTTTTTCACATGAAACAAAAGATATTAAAATACATGATAAACTATCATGTTATGCTATTATTATTGAATGGTATATTCTTTCCTGACTCAGTATATGCTCTATGCATGTCCCCCAAAATCAAACTGCATGCATATATTTCTAAGGGAGAAGATCTAGTGATTTTTTTAAAAGTACACTATTAAATAGACCCAAATCCTTATTAGAATTGTTTTTGTTAGCCTATAGGGTTCCACGTACCAAAACTTCTACTCACTGACTCTACAATAAGCAGGAATAAGAAAAAATTTCAGCTCTGGCTGGTATGGCTCAGTGGATTGAGCGTTGGCTTATAAACCGAAAGGTCACTGGTTCAATTCCTGGTCAGGGCACATGCCCGGGCTGCAGGCCAGATCACCAGTTGGGGGGGTGTGCAAAACGCAACCAGCAGCTGTTTCTCCCACACACCCATGTTTCTCTCCCTTCCTCCCTCCCTCCTTTCAAAAAATAAAATAAAATCTTTAATAAAAAATGTCAATAAATTGCAGAAAGGCACTTTGGGTCTACATTATGACGAACTGAGGAGGGGTGACTGAAAGGAGGGGAGCGCGCAGTGAGAGGCCGGAGAGGCCGGAGGGTAAGCAGGGAGGGAAGAGGGAAACCGAGAAGACGCGAGTGTGTGTGTGCGTGTGAGGGCCGGTGTGAAAGACACACGCTGGCCCTGCGTGCGGGAGGTCACCAAGAAGGACAGAAGAGCAAGGAGAGACACGGGAAGATGCAGAAGCAGCCCCATCTTCTCCTCTTTCAGAACACAGCGGAGCTAGCAGCTGATCCAAGCACACGAATGAGGAGGCCAGCAGTAGGTGATACTTGTGCCCACATCAGAGGCTAAACCACGCTGAGGCCCAGATTGAAACCACTTACTAAAAACTGCCCTCCCCAGCCGCGGCTAACGAGAGCAAAGGTAAGAGCAGACAGCAACAGGGAACAAAACAGAATTAAGAAAATAGAATTTAAATATAACCAGCAATTTTTGACACAATACCTGGATGCAAATACATCTATTTAAGTCTATGTTACAAATAAAGTATCTTAAAACAAATATTTTTATCTTCATAAACTAAAACAAGAGAAGTCAGATAAAGAATTTTTCAAGTTCTGAGCATGATTTTAAGATTGAATTGCTACGTAAACTGTAACTTTCCTTTTTAAAAATTTTTTTAAAAAGATTTTATTTATTTATATTTAGAGAGGGAAGGGAGGGAGATAGAGAGAGAGAGAGAGAGAAACATCAATGTGTGGTTGCTGGGGGCCGTGGCCTGCAACCCAGGCATGTGCCCTGACTGGGAATCGAACCTGCGATGCTTTTGGTTCACAGCCCGTGCTCAATCCACTGAGCTACACCAGCCAGGGCACTTTTCTTTTATTATTGGAATAATTTCCTTGTCAAATATCCTAACAACCTCTAAAGGTTATTTAAAGGCAGGGTGTGGGCACTACGTTAGACACAATTAAGTTTAATTTGCTTCACAACCACGTGTGTTTGAAACCTTTACCTTTGACTGTGACTGACTTTAGTATATAATTTATTTTTCATGTTACTGTCATTTAGTACAGTTGTATTATTTTGTTGACAGTTGCAATGTACAAAAAATACTTGTCACAGATTTCACTGTTCTCGGGAAGGGGGGCTGCTGCAGCACAGGGGAAGGTACACGGCAGTGTGTGCCCTGTGTGCAGGCAGGCCGAGTTTCAGAACCCCGGAGGCCCGGGAAGGCCCACTCCGTGCTGGGTTGTAAGACGTAGGCTGCCGTCACCGTGCATGGCTAGGTCTCTTCTCTGTTTGTCTTGAAGTTTTAGATTATTTCTTTTTTCCTTTCGGTACGGCATGCCATTCCATTTTATTACAGGAAAGGAATAAAGCGCAAGTGAACTCAATTTTTCTGATAAAATGGAGAAGTCAGTTTTAAGGTTTCTTTCATTTTTCATGTACTTGCATTGATATAATGGACATTTCTTCACAAATCATAGAGAGAACAGATGAACACTTTGTAGAGAAATGGCTGACTCCAGGTTTGGGACGGAAATGTACGAGATGAGCCTGGAACATTCTGTCTAACCAGAAAATAAAAAAGCCATCAAAGTCTATTAATAGAATTGTTTCAAAAGGATTCAAGAACTTCCACTGGCCAAACACGAGGCAATTGGATAGGAATAATAATTGCAATAGATTGAAACATCAAATATATTAAATCTACAAGTCATAAAGATACTTTTGAAGGATGATAAAGGACCAATTCATTATTTTGAAAACTAGTAAATAAGCAAATCAAGCAGTTATCCTGCCTTTTTTATATGAACTGTACCTTATGGTAGCTAAGTAGTTGGCAAGAAGTTGCTCTTTACAGAACTATTCCAGCCAATAAATGAAAAAGGAACAACTTAATTAGAATGTTATCACTTTGCGCCCTGGCTGGCGTGGCTCAGTGGATTGAGCGGGGTCTGTGAACCAAAAGCATCAAAGGTTCGATTCCCAGTCAGGGCACATGCCTGGGTTGCAGGCCACGGCCCCCAGCAACCGCACATTGATGTTTCTCTCTCTCTCTCTCTCTCCCCTTCCCTTCCCTCTCTAAAAATAAATAAATAAAATCTTAAAAAAAGAGAATGATATCACTTTGCAATGTCTAATGGGTACTGGATCTAGGACACGATCATTAATGGCTGCCGACATTACAAAAAGCCTCCTGAGAGAAGTGCACCTTATCGCTTAAGAAGTATGCTTCCCAAATGTCGAATCATATTTAATTAAGACTCTATACCGAACTACCAATTCACACAACATACTGGGGACAGAAGAACATATTAACTGACACCACGAGAATGTCATCACCGAAGTTCAGGATGCTGGACACCCCTCAGTACAAAACCCACCGGGTTTCCCCACCCCCGCCGATGTTCTGCAGGAAATAAATTATAAAGAAAAAAGATGGAGGAGTAACCTAGAGAAAAAGACACTTAAGAGATATATCAACTAATAACAACGTATGGACTCCAATTAGAATCCTGACTTGAACAAAGAAAACATTAAGCAATTGTGAGACAACCGGTGAAGCTGGAACACTGGGTATTAGGTATTATGCAATTATTGTTCAATTATTTTTGGCATGATAATGGTATTGCAGTTATGTTCAAAAGGAGTCTTTATGATATATGCTGAAATTCGACCACATAAAAAAAATAAGATCACTGAGATTCGCCTAAAAACGATTTGGGGTGGGGTAACGGTGGGACCACACGGAAACACAGGACCGGCCACAGGCCGGCTACTGAAGCTGGGTGATGGTCCCGCCGCCCCCTCTGCTTGTCACGTGGGCTCGAAGTCTGCCACAATAAAGTGTTTCTAAAAGTCGTTCTTAAAAAACTCCAAGAAGTCTGTTTAGCAATTACTCTACTGTTTTCCTCGAGTTCACCTTAAGAGTATTACTTACAGGTTTATAGGAGTCAATTCAGCTGTTATGTAGAAGTATAGATACATGTATTTTGTAGTAATTATTCAAACCAGAAAAGGTAAATAAAGATGAATAATCTTGCCCTCATCAATTTCTGAGTCAGACCAATAGCTTAACTATACAATGTACTAAGATGAAAACAAAGCTATGTTTTTCATTTGTATTTTCAGAATGGACAGACTTCAATGTATATTTAATCATTTCCACATTGCAGACTCAAGAATATTTAAACAATGAAATTAGGCACCCATACAGAGTCAGTATTTTAAAAGGAAAACTGAATCTAAATGATCCCTGACTATGATGCTAAAAACTTGACACTTTTATGAAAAACTGGTAAAATCTTAACCTCAATTTTCAACAGTGAAACTAAATAAGAAACAGATAAAATGATGTATTATGAAATGCAGTTAACCTGCACTACGCAACATGGACTTAAAATAATTGAGAATGATCTTGGAACTCATGTAGATAATTTAATTAACATTTTAATCTACCTATTTCAGTTTCAATATGAGAAAAGCAACTCCACAGTGCTTACTGGGTTTGTCCAGAACCACAACCTGAGGACTGAAGCCAGCCTACTCAGTGACTAGTCCCGAGTTGTTGATAAACATACGGCAGGGCTTTTTAAAAAAAGGGAGAGCCAGGGCTTTCATCAGGAGAACCAGTCAGCTGGTCACCTGAGTCCTGGAGGCCAGGGCTCGGGCTCCCCAGCACCTCTTCTACCTGCAGTGGCTCAGAGAGCTGAGGAAACAGGCCTCGGCCACACGGCCCCGCCTTCTGGGGCCCTCCCCAAAGACTGACACAGGGAGGCTGCTGAATGGCTCGAGGTTTTTTTTTTTATGATTTGTATTAAACGAATCAATGTTTGCAGAGGGCTTAGACCAGTGCCTGGCTCAAAGTAAGAGCTTGTATTTACTAAATAAAATAGATAAGTATGTTTATTCTCACCTCACAGAGATATCTGAGAATAATCTGAAAACCTGGTAGTTCATTACATGGGGCGTTTTTGTTTGTTATGCAGAAACTTCTCATGAACGCTTTGTTATTTAAAATTGTTTTTTTCTTTTATAAAACTAAATTCCTAAGAAAGAATCTTCATCTTCTAAAGGGATTAAGATGGAACCAATTTCCCTTCGAAACTGCACTAAACTTTACATACATATATATTATTTATTATTATTTTTTGTACTAAACCTTTTAAAAAGGACAATGTCATAACTATGTACAAATTAGACACATTTGAAAAAATAAATAACACACTCTTACCTTTCCGAGGTTCTCCTGCTCAGCAATATTTTTGGTGTACTGTTCCCTAGAGAGCCAGCATAGTGATTAAGTCTCAATTTACAGCAATAATTTTATCACACAACTAAATTATAAATTAACATACCTGTCAAATGTATTAAACAGAACATTCAGAGCACTGGAGTTAGGAGGAAACCCATTATCAAACACTCTCTCTCCTCATTCTTAGTTCTTAGAAGTAAGTTAGAGTAAGTAGTAATTTAAAGGAAAAAAGGCAAAACATCGCATACGAAATTAAGGGAATTAAAATGTTAAGTACTATTTCTGGTTGATCTAGCCCTAAAACAATGGCAACCCATTTGCTTAAATTACTTTGTTTTTTGAGGAGGTTTGCAAAAGGGAGAAACGTTAAAACAACAACAACAACAATAAACACTAGATAGCATCTAACCTGGAATTCCAATTCTAGGAAGTGATTCTACAGAAAACTCGTAACTTAATAAAGATAAAAACAAAAACCTTTACTTCACCATTGCTTGTAGCGGTGAAAGACTGCAAACAGACGGAAGCCGACAGACGGGAAAATGTTTAAATAAACTATAGTACTCCATTTAAAGGAATAACATAAAGTTGTAAAAAAGGATGAGGTAGATCTATAAACACTAAGGTGGAAAGAATTCTAGATAAACTATGAAGAGAAAAATTGTGTCATTTAATTTTATTTTTATATACGCAAAAAAATTTCCATGCATTTGCTAATACACACACACACACACACAAATGCACGGGAAAAGAATATGGAATAAGGTACACCAAAATATTAACAACATTAGGCATTTCTGAGGCATAGCAATGTGGACTACTTTCAACTTTTGTGTACTGCATTTCATAATGGTCAGTTTTTGGTTTCATAAGTGTTTCTTTTGTAATCTCAAAAAAGGGTAAAATTTTAATGTAAAGATAAAACTACATATAACTGTGTTATATTTTTAAACAAAAGTATAATTATATTTTAATACTACCTAAGACAAAAAGTGAGATTTATTTATTTATGTACTTGTAATCCTCACCTGAGGACATGTTTATTGATTTTTAGAGAGAGAAGAAGGGGAGGGGCAGGGAGAGAGACTCCGCTGGGCCGCCTTCACTGCCTTCTGTGCGTGCCCTGCCTGGGGGGGGCGGGGACCCGCAGGCCCCTGGGGTGCGGGACGACACCCAGCCAGGCACCGAAGGTGAGATTTAAAGTGTCAAAGACAAAGGTTGGAGGGTGGAGAGACACCTAAGACCACAAATTTGGATGGAAAGAGACCATGTTTCTGTGCAAACTACACTATACTACTTAAGAAGGAATTAACACAAAATTGAGAATCTAAGAAATCATAGGCTATAAAGAGAAATCCTAGAAGTCTAAGCGAAGGAGGATTCACATTTATGCAAAAAGGAAGGTAAACATGATCAGGACAGAGAATGTCAATCCACAGTGGCCCGAGCGCTTCAGAGCTGAAGTGAAGGCAGAGTCTGTGCACAGCAGGGAGGGAACACACACGACCTGACGAACCTCCCTTTTGCCCTTGGAATTCATGAGACACTGCGTCACACTGTCCGCCTGTCCGGCTGTCCAGTGACTAACAGCTAAGAGGATGTAAACGTCTCACTGACTTAAGAAGAAGGTATGGTTGTAGTTCGGGTAACTTGAAATAATTCGTTTATTACCCTAGGCCTGAGAAATGTCCAACTGTTTTAGAATTTCCATTTCTGCTTTGTCGAGAAATCCACAGGCTCATGCCCTCCCCCTGTGACACTGACCCGCATTTTTAATCCGCTCCAGAAGCAATTACGGAGCGCCCGTCCTGCCCCGGGGTCTCAGAGGGACACGGGACAGCCAGTGGTCATCGGGCTCCAGGAACGCTCGGAATTTCCCACACCCTGCTGCACACTTCGTATTGCACTTGATCCTCGGTGGTACACACTGTTTACCTTACCTGACAACGAGGAAGTGATCTGCTCAAGGTCACAAAACTAGGAACTGGACAAATCAAGTTCGAGACACATTGGACAGCCCCTCTCCAGTACTTCGAAATAAAACATGCTGCCTCTTTAAATAAGATTCAAATTTGCAAATGATCTTTCACGACCAAGCTGATTCCTCAGACCTCTGGCCTTACCCAGAAAGTACCACAAAAGTGGAAAATGGAATAACAGTAACAAATACTGTGTCTATATCAGTAATCACACTCGAGGCACGTATCAGTGAGCTGAGAATGTAGCTAAGCCCGTAACATCCATAACACTCTCATCGTGCGCCACTCTAGGCGGCCCGACAGCTTCCCATGGGGAGAGGGAGGAGTGATGAAGGGTTATGATGATTGCTAAAACGGTGAAGAAGAATGTCTGGTTGGAAAACTCAGAAAACCAGCAGTTCAGGAGCAAGAGTTCCTTCTTTGCTATTCATATTAATAAACAAAATTAACTTCTTACATTTGTGAAATATTAGCATTGACCGTATAGATTTATTGAGTTAAGTTTACATTCAATGAAAGAATCTGAATAAGCGCATTTAATATGTTTACCATGTTGAAGTATTAGATAAAATATTCTATTTATAGGATATCTTCAGTGTGGTTTGCATTCCAGTGCATTATGTATAAAAAAATTTAGATTCTGCCAAGACATTCTATGTCTTAGATTCCTTTTTGTAACATTAAAGTTTATGCTACTAAAAATCTCAACTTCAATCTAGAACAAATGTGAATCCTACACTTCGAGTTCTTACTGGGTAATAAAAGCAAAACATTTGAAGTGTGCTAAGGGGCAAAGAAAGTGTATCTTGTACAACTACTGGATTTTATCACAGACAGCAATTCAACTACACGTGTATTTCTAAGGCAACACTTGGTTTATGACAGTCTGCTGCAAACGGTGATTACAGGAAACCACCACAGGAAGGGGCGGGGGCGCACAGGCAGACCCTCCCCGGCCTGGACGCTGGGCGCTGCAGCCCCACGGTTCCCAGCTGAAACGCAGCCGCTGGCACTGCACCAGTAGCAGGCAGGTGACTATAGTCCAGGCCACGTGGGACTTTAAAAATAGACAAACCTTAGTACTTATTGAAAACCAACTATCAAATTATGTGTACTCCTGGGTAAGGGAAAATGGGGAATTATTAGTGATTACAAGAGTTTCTGTCTGGGATGATGAAAAGTTTTGGTAACATATACTTGTGATGGATGCACAACAACATGTAATTAATGCGACTGAACTGCATGCTTCAGATGGCTAAAACGGCAGATTTTATGGTATATGTATCTTTTGTGACAATAAAGACACTAAGCAAGAGAGAAAACTATACATATTCCTACTTACTTAGCAGGGCTAGATTATCCAGAAGATGTTTAATGAGACTGACCCCTAAATAATATCTTAGTACCTGCTTATTTAAGGACTCTACATTTTATAATTTCACTTTACTTATGAACCTTGTAGCGGTGGAAACCCCAGGTAACACAGTATGAAGACAGCAGAGTCACTTGCCTGACGGCCCTTCTCTTCCCCTGCTGGTCGGCAGAGACGTAGGCCCTCATCTCCTCCGTGGCCCGGCGGAGCTGCACCTCCAGGTTCTGGGTGGGAGACCACGCGTTAGGCGGAGCCCTCGGCCCAGGAGAATCTCAGCAGCGGTTCTGACTCACTCTCTTTGTCTTACCTTGATCATGCAGTTTGTATAGTGGTATCTACTCTCTTCCTGAAGGCATTCCTCGCGGAGCCCTCTGACTTCCTGCAACAGGAAGCTCTGGGTGAGCGACGTTCCCGGGAGCAGCCCGGCGCGGAGAGGAGGGCGGCCGCGCGCGCGGGCGCAGCAGCGCCGTGGGCCAGTCGTCCCCCTGCCGCGGCTGTGACTTTGTGCGCTGTGACCACGGCCTGGGCGGCCACCTTTTCAGGGGCGGCTCACGTCACTCTGCAACCACGCGCACAGTCGTTCATTGACTAGGTCCCCAGGCTGTGTCCAGCTCTCTGCTAAGTGCTGGGGACACGGCAGGGAACGGGACGAACCCTGCTCTCACCCGAGAGGGGAAACAGACGTCACAGGGAAAGACAGAATGAAGGTCATTTTGGAAGGGGGCAGTACTGTGAGTGTGATGGCGTGACTGAGTGGGCAACGTCAGACAGGGAGACCGGAGCAGGTCTCCAGGAAGAGGCGACATTCAGGCCGAGACCCGAAAGATGAAAAGGAGCGATCAAGGCAGAGCGTTGGGGACAGGGTGCCTGGAGAGGGAGGAGCACACGACAAGCCCGGAGGTGGAAGCAGGGCTGGCCTGTCTGCAGTACCCGGCGACGGCCAGGCCGGCTGCAGCCCGCGGATGAGGAGCCCAGCGCACGGACGTGATGAAGTCCAGGGGGAGGCAGGGCCTGCTGGACCGCGGTCCGGAAGTTACAGAGTCTAAGTGTCACAGAAGCCACCGGAGGGCGGCCCAAGTTTTACTCAGTTTCTGTGGCTGCTCTCTGGAGGCTAAACCGCAGGGAGGTAAGAGTGCAAGGGGCCAGCAGGTGGCGGGGCACTGCGGGGCCTAGGAAGACAGGCGGGCCTGGACTTGGTGGCAGTGGTACAGGTGGAGAACTCAGGGGGTACGCACCGCGCCTGAAGAAATAAAGATCTCTGTAACTTAGGAGACAGGCTCAAGGGAGGAGGGGAAAGATTCAGGAATCTTTTGACATTGGTACAGAGAAACTATGCGTACGCAGGCAGTCTTTGCTACATTTGAAAGTAAAAACTGTCTTCTTACCTGTTCTAATTTGGACCGGTTGCTTTCGAGGCCCGCTGCACAGCTATCATACTGGGATTTCTTTTCCTCACACTCCTGGGTCAGCTCCTAGTATAAAAAGGGCAAATGATTGAATAAGCGAAAAACAAAGGCCTAAAATGTGGCTCTGACACAATGCATGCCCTTGTTAGTCTTGTAACTTAACTCTAAGCCTCTTGGCATACTTAAGAGTTATTTATACAACAATCAGACATTTGAGAATTATGACAGATGAAGGTGCTGATAAAAACAATAGCCACCATGTACTGAGCTGTGTGCCAGGCTGTTTGTCAGGAGCTGGGACACAGCAGTGAACAAAACAGCCAAAGACTCTTCCCCGCAAGTTACGTTCCGACGAGTAAACAGGCTGCTGGTGCTGTGGTGGGTAAATGGGGCTCTCACGGGACCTCGCCCAGGCGCGGGGGTCAGCGGGGACACCTTCCTGGAGAACGCGGCATCCGAGCTGAGCTGTGCGGATCCGTGAGAATAGTCGGGGGGAGGTGAACGGGGAGGAGGTGCTCGGGAAGAAAGGCACACCATGTATAGAGGCTTGGAAGCCGGAGAGGAGAACACTGTAGGGTGTACAAGGAGTTCATCACACTGGCGTGTGTCGGGGAGCGTGAGAAGAGGCTGCAGGCTGTGTCAGGGGCCCGGGCGGACTCTGAGCCGTGACGGGGTGTCCGAGCTCGACCTTGGACAACGACGAAATCTCACAACAGCTCCTGTGGGCATCCATCTCCCCACGTGACGCCTGAGGGCAGTTCGGGGAGGCTGCGGGCCTCCCAAGGATGGGACTGCCGGGCAGGTGTCAGAGTTCCAGCTCGGGCCTCTCTGAGTAGTTTCCAACTTTCTTCTAATGAAACATTTTGAGCTACGAATGCTACAAGTATCTACGAACGCGTGGTCAGGTGGAGTGAACACCCTTTCCGATCCAGAGCTGAGCTCTCAAGGAAGAGGAACCAGCAGGGCCAGGAACACCGCATGACCCCCTGTGGCCACGCTCCCCTTGGTGAAGGGGGGCGGGGACTGTCAGTCTCAGTGACAAGAGGGATTCCGTGTCCGAGCAGCGGGGGGGACAAGGCTTGAGGCCTGGGCAGAGGGGGAAGTTAGAACTCCGAACCCCACGGGAAGTCCAGACTGGTTTCCAACCCGAGAGCCCAGGAGTAGAGCACTAACCGAGGTCATTCTGAGGCTGGCCTGCACCAGTCAGGCCTGGGTTTAACTGAAGACGAAGATGAAAGTATGAAAACCAATGACAGGGAACACATCCCATAAAACGAAATGATAATTAAACTGATGGTAGACCCTTCAACACCACAAAAGAAACTGGAAAGCAGTAACTTTTTCTGACCAAGGCATGACTTAAGAAGAAGAAAAAAATGATTTACTGATAGTAATGATTCTTTATTAAAAGAACCACTTAAAGAAAACAAAACAAGGACATTTAATCTCAGGAAGAAGGAAACTGAATCCAGGAGGAAGGATTAAAATACAAGGAGCAACAGTGAAAACTGCCAAGTATGTGGGTAAATCTAAGCAGGAAATGATGTGTGAAGTAGCAATTATAACGGTAATGACCGCCATGGCAACCTCTTTTAGAGGTGAAGAAGTAAAATGGAAATAAGGTACAGAGGAGCGGAAGGGGGTGTTGAATCAGTCCAAGGTCCCTGTGCTGCCTGAGCGACGCTGACTACCTTCAGACTGAAGCCAGGCAAATCGATGTTAAAAACTTAAGAGGAAGCAGTATTAGATGAAGATAGAAAAGGAAATAGGGGGAAAGAAGATAAAAGAGAGCAGGATTTGTGCAATGGAGGGCAGGACAGAAGAAAAGCAGCAAAGAAGTGCAGCAAACAGGGTGTACAAAGAGACATCAATCCCAATGTACCAGTAATAGGAGTAAAAGTAAAAGGGGACTAAGGTAACCAGGTAAAAGACAGATTCTCACACTGGATGTAAGAAAACACACCCACACCAAATCCAGTTACATGTTATTGGTGAGACACAGACAGAGAAAAATGAAGGTACAGGAAGCTGAAAGTAAACAGAAATAAAAACATACCAAGCGATACTAATCGTAAGAAAGCTGGCATATTTGTATGCATAGCAGACAAAATAAGACTCCTAGACAAAAATAGAGAGAGTCAAATAGAAAGTCAAAACATAATGATAAAACAAATAATTTTTATCAGGAAGTTTTTTTAAACCTTGAATCTTTTTTAAATTGTGGTAAAATACACATAAAATCTACCACCTTAACTGTTTTGAAGTGTACGGTTCAGCAGTGTTAATGAGTCCATTCACATTCACCACCTCCGGAACCCTTTCCATCCTGCGAGACGGATGCAGTCCACACCCCCTGGACGACGCGCCGTTCGCCCGCAGTCCCGACCGCACCGCCAGGAGGCCCGGGGCGACGCGCACGTGCAGAGCCCGGTACCCAACCACCGAAAACTACATTCTTTTCAAGGTCAAGTCACTGAAAAACCAGGTTGGCTTCAGATCTCTCCACGACACACTTAACTCCAGAAGACTGTAGAGCTATACTTTAAAAATCCTCAAGGAATGAAAGCGTGATGTAAGAAGTTTATGCTCAGTCAAGCTGTCGTTGAGATATTTAAGGCAACAAACTCCAGAACATGCAAGAACACATCAGGGGATACTGTTCTTATGGGCCTTTCCCAAGGATTCTACCAGTGGAGCTATTTTCAGCCAGCGTGCGGCAGGAATTTTTAAAGCATGCACTACCTGAATACTTAGTCAGGAGCACTGACCTCTTTTGCTTTAGATTTTCAAATTAAAAATGACAGCGGCCAACACAATGATAGCTATCTGGTGTGAATACGTCAAAAGAATACTTTCTTTTGGTCAGATCAGCAAAAAATATATTTTTTTGGTATGCTGCAGAATTTTATTTTTTATTTTTTTAATCCTCACCAAAGGGTACGTTTACTAATTTTAGAGGAAGAGGAGGAGGAGGGAAGAGAGAGAGAGAAAGAAAAAGAGAGACACAGAGAGAGAGAGAGAAACATCAGTCAGTTGCTTCCTGTAGGCGCTCCAACCAGGGACCGAACGCGCAGCCCAGGTATGTGCCCCGACCGAGGAAGGAAGCGCAGTCCTCTGGGGTTCGGGGCCACGCCCCAGCCAACCGAGCCCCCTGGCCAGGGCCTCACAGTTTATCTTTACAGCAACGGTCAGAATTAGCTTCCAAGGAATGGCATTTCACCACTTGTAAGCTGTCATGGTTTGCCCCCCAGCAAAGCAAGTTCAATTAATCTGAAGTTAACCTGTCACCACCCGTAGGCAGACATGGAGATTTACCTGGCCACAGAAGAATGTAACCTCAGAGTTACAGCTCTGGCATGGTTTAAAGCAAAAAGGTCATCTGGCTGCATTTGTGATTTCAGCTTAAACTCTTCCTTCTCCCCCTGCCCAGTAATTTATGACAAAACAAGTAGCATAAATCAAAGAGAAATCTTTACGGGTAACTTTATTATTCTTTTTTGCAGAATCATGTCAATATAGTACATCTCAACAACATAAAATACCAAAAGTATCACAATATCAAATTTACTTACTTGACACTTTTGACGCAACTGTCGTAGTTCTTTTATAATTGGGGCTAGAGCTGACTTCTTTTCAGATACCAGTGAATTCAGTTTTTTCACCTGTCATTTAAAAAAGTGCATGACATCTAAGAAAAGAATTCAAAAGAACAAAAATACTACGTGCATAAAGATATTTATTGAAATGTTATGCGAGTTAAAAAAAACTATAAATTACTTCAATGCCGAACAATGGGGAAGCGATTTAGTAATCTTGATTCTTCAGTAAGATGGAATACCAATAAACTACTCAAAATGTCAATTATTAAGACCGCACACCAATATGGGACAATGTTTATAATCTAACACTGAGTGACTAAGACAAACTTAAAGTTGCCTATATACAACTACAATCACGTACATAAAACGGTACGTGATTGTGTAGGTTATATAAAATACACAGAAACACGGATGAAGTGGAAAGCAATGACCGATGACCGTGGGCGCCGGCCACCGAGACAAACACGGTCTCGCAGGCCTCTGCTGTGCTCAGCGTTCATTTTTTCGGGCGTCAGACTGGGGGGAGACGCAGGGGGTGCTGGGCGAGTGGCCACTGTGGACAGGACAGGCGGAGGCGGGTGCTCAGAGAGTCTGGGGCAGCAGCTATCTGCCCATAGGGACGGAAAGGCTTCCACATCTGAATGCCCGATGAAGCTGTGCCAGAGCATGCTGGCTGAACAGCAGCCCCGAGTATAGAAAGATACTAAGGACATACACAAAAGCGAAATAACTTTATAAGTTAGAGGGGTATGCTTTAGGAAAACTTACTTTTTACCTTAAATATTTCCTTTACATTGTATATAACCTTACACACTTAAACCACCAAACCACAAAATACATCAACCATTATAAGTTGAACAATCTTACTAAAATGCAAAAATTCAAAAAGAGATTGCTAGAGACAGATGAAAAAAAAATAAGCATATGCAGAAATGAAAATTTAAATGTTTCACTGAAAACAGGACAAACAAAAATATCTGCCTTCCGGCCACACAAGAAAAGCCACCAAAGCAGCGTACTCACCATTCCCGACATGTCGTCCAGGGTCCGCCCTTTCATCTCGTCCACCTCACTCTTCAGGGCGGACACTCTCTCCAGCTCCTCCTGGGTGTAGCTATACCCAGATATGCCCCTTTTCTCCTCGGTGTTTTGCTAAAAGTAAAGAACAGGAACGGGTGTCACAGACGGGAGGTAGGGCGGTGGGCACACGACCACGGGGTTCAGTCCCTGTGCCACACGCCGCACCAGCGGGAAAGCCGACGGCCTGATTCAGCAGAGGAAGGGCCGCGTGCAGGCACAGCTGAGCTGCCAGCTTGGAACTGGGGGCCTGCGAGGATGAGTTCTAGTCTTCAGGATGGAGTGGACAGTCTTAAACCAGTTCCCGTCTACGGTGCTGGGGTCCCAACAGACTGAACCAATGGGTCTTGAAAACACGGGAAGAAAAACAGGGGTGTTGCCACTCATCAGGTTTCCCACTTATCCACTTGGGGAATGACACTTCCCTTCTCTGTGGTACAGATGCTCTAGTCGCCAGGGTGGGCAGGCTTCCGCCAGAAGGTACATTAAGAAGCCCTAAATTTAATGCTCTGGCTCCCATGTTGTCAGATGCCTTCTCATGCCAGTGGACCAACAGGCAAAGGAAAGAGTTACTACATGGCAGCACATTACAAGGCTGCTAGGAGCTCCTACACCACGGGGGCAGACAGCAGTTATGTCTGGCATGCGGGCGACCCATTAGGGCATATGCTGGCACCCCCATGCCCGGTTTAACAGTAAGTAGGTAAGTATAGCAGGCACACTTCCATACAGGATCTTCCCTGGATGTTTCTTTGCAAAGCTCCATGGAAGTAGCTGCTTAGAGATTTCTGTCCAGCAGGCCATGATGGATAAATATTTTATAGTCAGTCTCTTGGCATGATTAATTCTGCTCATATTAACTAGCTACCTGTCACCCCCAAAAAACCTACTTAGAATTCAACTCCTACTAGTTAGTTACCTCAGAGTCAGCACACATAAAAGAGTTCTTATTGCTACATTAAAAATAAACGAATCAGCTTATATGACATCTCTGTAATTAATCAGAAAAAATAACAATTGTATGGTTTCCCCAGTAAAGACAATAAAGCTGTACCCCACAAACTCCCCAGCACTTGTACTTTTAGCGCCTCAGGATAACGCTGTATTACCAGCTGATGTTGAATATTTTCATGGCGTTGCTTAAGCAGTTCTTCCGTCCTCTGCAAGAGACCAAACTCAGCTTTCAGTTCAGCTATTATCTGATGCTTCTTTTTGAAAACTGTACTCTTGCTCCGAAGCTTACTGACATACCGTTTGAACTGCAGAAGAACAGAGTATGTAGTCTAATGAGTACAAAGGCAGTTGCTAAATATCACATGTAACCTCAATGTATCAGAAAAATTTTCTTTTCCAATGTCTAACACACGTGCTCCAAGTACATGATGATAACAGTTTTTATTAGAAGACTTGAAAAGACCAACTGCTCAATTAAAATACTTTGTGTATGTTCTAATTTTTTAGATCCATCTAAATATTGTAGATCCTTATATAAAAGCTATTCATTTTGAGCTTTATAAATACAAATTAGGAAAACATTAACTCAACCTTCGAAAAGTAAAAAGGTGGAAAAAAAAGTAGAACAATTCGGGCTGTGGTCTTACCATGATATGTCTTTTGCATTACACTATTTTGGTGGCACTGGATCTACTGGGACTAACAGAGCCAACGAGAAGAGTCACCTGTAGCCACCATTTATCATTTGACAAATGTCCTGTGACCATCTGTATGCGCTAAGAAGCATCTCAGACCCCAGGGTGAAACTCATCCCACGTGTAAAATGGCTAAGAACATTCCAAGTTAGTGGGCACTCACAGTTGTTAAGTATAGCTATTCACCTACTAATGATATTAAATTTGTAACTGCTCTACTCCCATGGAACGACCCCATTATTAAGTAAGACCAAACAGAGTTTGGAAAAACAACTGAAATAAATGTTTAAAGAAACTGATCGGGGAAGCGCTGTTTATTAACTACTGGGCACCAGGCAGCGCGCCCGACAGTGGGACCACATCTCCGTACAAGTCGCTCCAGGCGGAGCCTTCACCGAGCTGGAGGGACCTCGGGGAAAGCAAACACTGAGCCGATGTTCCCAATCATGGGGAACAGCGGGAAGAGTCAAGGGGCCCTGAGCAGAGATGGCAGGAGGTAGACCTGGGTTGGGAAGAAGGGGGGGAGGGTGGGACTGGGATTTAGCGGGGAGGGCTCATGGGAATTTTCTCTAAATAATGATATTTAAGCCAAGACTGAAGAAGTGGGGGCAGGCTGGAGGAAGGGGAAGGGGGAGGGAAGAGCATTCCAGGTTAAGGAAACGGCAGGTTTCAAGGCCTGGAGGCACTGGCTCACTGAAAGCATTGCCTGGTATGAGTGGCAAATGCCAAGGGCAAATGTGAGAAATTTCTGGCATTTCTGAAACAGAATATAAAACTTAAAAAATCAAATTCCTTTTATGTACCATTAGCATGAATCTTTTCAGATGTTTGTAAAGATTTTATTTATTTATTTTTAGAGAGAGGGCAAAGGAGGGAAAAAGAGAAGGAGAGAAACATCGGCGTGAGAGATATCAATTGGTTGCCTCTTGCACGCCCCCTACTGGGGACCTGGCCTGCAACCCAGGCATGTGCCCTGACTGGGAATTGAACCGGTGAGCTTTCAGTTCACAGACTGGCATTCAATCTACTAAGCCACACCAGCCAGGGAACTTTTTAGATTTTTTTAATTATAAAATATACTTTTTTTCTGCTCTCCCCTTTTATTAACTACATTATAAAGAAAATATCCATAAAAATACAGATGTAAAGTAGTGGTCTTTGTCACTAACAAGGACACCCCTAGCACCCAATTTCACGGCGGCAGCTGGAACCCACAGGAGTTCGATGAGTGGCTGTGGTGGGAAATGAACGGTGGGAGAACAAACAGAGACCAGTCGCTTGTCTGAGGTGGAAATGTCAGGGGTGGGGCCATGCCTTCCCTCCACATCTTCTGGCTCCGCTGTCACAGTAGAAGACGCCAGGATGTGCTGAGAATGGGGAGGAAGACGGTTGGCTTTTGGGTCTGAAGAAAGTGGAACCATCTGACTTGGCCTTTGAGGAAAATTGGATGGAAAATCTGACCACCACTAATTGAAGGGAATTACAGCAGGACTTACTTTATCAATTTTTTTTATTCAAATACTTCTAACAGGAAAGAAAGGACAACAAGCACCTACTGATATGTCTGTGATATTACTTAAACTGTATCTACAAGCAAAAAATATCTAGGTGGGTAGACTTCTGGTCAAGACAGAGGTGTAGGTAGACATACTTCCCCTCCTCATTCAACCAGAAAAAGAATTACAACTAAATCTCAAAACAAATAAAACCTAGAACTGTCAGAAAAATCAAACTGTGTGGAAGGCTGACAATCAAGGACTTAAAGAAGCCACATTCATCCAGATGGGTGCCTTTCACGGGGAGTCAGAGCAGCTCTACCTAATACATAGAAACAAACAACAGGGAGGCTGTCAATTTAGGAAACAAAGAAATATGGCCCAGATGAAAGAACAGAACAAAACCCCAGAAAAAGAACTAAATGAAACAGAGATAGCCAACCTATCAGACCCAGAGTTCAAAACACTGGTGATCAGGATGCTCAAAGAACTCACTGAGTATGGCAACAACATAAAGGAAAAAATGAAGGTTACACAAAGTGAAATAAAGAAAAATCTACACGGCCCTGGCTCATGTGGCTCAGTGGACTGAACACCAGCCTGTGAACTGGAAGGTTGTCAGTTCAATTCTCGGTCAGGGCACATGCCTGGGTTGCAGGCTGGGTGCCCAGCTGGGGTGTGTGAGAGGCAACCGATCAATTTTCCTCTCCCACTCTTCCTCCTTTCCTCTCCCTCTCCCTAAAAATAAATAAATAAAATCTTAAAAAAAGAAAAATAAAAATCCACAGGGAACCAACAGTGAAGGGAAGGAAGTCAGGATTCAGTCAATGGTTTGGAACACAAGGATTATATAAGCATTCAACCAGAACAGAAAGAAGGAACAAGAATTCAAAATACAAGGATAGTATAAGAAGACTCTGGGACATCTCCAAATGTGCCAACATCTGAATTATGGGGATGCCAGAAGAGGAGGAAAACCAAGAAATTGAAAACTTATTTGAAAAAAATAATGAAAGAAAATTTCCCTAATTTGGTGAAGGAAATAGACATACACGCCCAAGTAGCACAGAGAGTCCCAAACAAACTGGACCCAAAGAAGACCACACCAAGACACATTATAATTAAAATGCAAAGGGTTAAAGATAAAGAAAGAATCTTAAAAGCAACAAGAGAAAAGCAAAGTTACCTACAGAGGTGTACCCTTAAGTACCTATCAGCTGATTTCTCAAAAGAAACTTTGCAGGCAAGGAGCGACTGGCGAGAAATATTCAAAGAGATGAAAAGTAAGGACAAACAACCTAGACTACCCTCTCCAGCAAAGCTATCATCAGAATGGAAGGGCAGATAAAGTGCTTCCCAGACAAAGAAGCTAAAGGAGTTGATCATCACCAAGCCATTATTACATGAAATGCTAAAGGGACTTATTTAAGAAAAAGAAGATGAAAACTATGAAAATTAAAAAGGCAACAAATTCACAACTATAACAACTGAATCTAAAACCGCCCCCCCAAAACAAAGAACAAACTAAGCAAACAACCAAAACAGGAACAGAATCATAGCATGGACATCATTGGGAGGGGGAAGGGGGAGAATAAGGGAAAAGTTTCAAGGATTAAAAAGCATAATTGGGCCCCAGCTAGTGTGGCTCAGGGGACTGAGTGCCAGCCTGCGAACCCAAGGGCTGCCAGTTCGATTCTTGGTCAGGGCACATGCCTGGGTCGCAGGCCAGGTCCCCGGTTGGGGGCTCACGACAGGCAACCGATCAATGTATCTCTGGCACACTGATGTTTCTCTCCCTCCCTTTCTCCCTCCCTTGCCCTCTTCCTAAAAATAAAAATAAAATCTTTAAAAAAAGCATAATTGGTAGGTACAAAATAGACAGGGGATGTTAAAAATAGTAGAGGAAACGAAGAAGTGAAAGAACTTATATGCACGACCCACGGCCATGAACTGAGCAGGGGTGGGGGGGTGCTGCTGGAGCAAAGGGGGTTACCTAGCAGAAGGGGGCCAAGGGGACAACTGTAATAACATAATCAATAAAATATCTTTAAAAAGAAAGGAAAAGGTCCAAGCAAGGATCAGCCTATAACATTTAAACACATCACTTAAAAACAAAAGTAAGCTTACCTAATACGTGATAATTGCTTGAGAATCTTAACCTTTTTAATGCCTTGTCTATCTTAAGGCTAATTTGTGGGGGAGGGGGTTAGAAATAATTTCATAAATAATACAAGTAATGAATGTATTACTGAAATTTTAGAAAACAGAAAAAGAAATAATTCAGTCAAAGCCACTACCCAATGCAAGCTCTATTATTATGTTGGTATTTTCCCTTTTAAATTTTACAGCTAAATCTAAGGTAATTCTAAATTTTTATGGTAGTAAATAGGAAGAACATTTCTAAGATGTAAGTACTTTTTTTCTTAAAGACTTGATTCCCGAGTATTCAAAGAATGCTCTTAAAATAGTACCATTAAACATTCTTCATATAAAAATAACTTCCTAATACCTAGTTTAGACATCATTTTTTTTTAGAGAGAGAGAAAAAAAACATCGACGAGACCAACATCAACTGGTTGCTTCCCATATGTGCCCCGACTGGGGTTCAAACCCCAACCTTTTGGTGTATGGGATGATGCTCCAACCAACTGAGTCACCTGGCCAGGGGTAGGTATCATTTTAAAGTTGACTTAAACTTTGCAAGAAATAAAGAACTCACTGTATGTTAGAGGAAGGAAGTTCAAAATATTTTTCTATCCATGTTTAAGTTAGTTTTAATATTAATGAATCCAGTCCGCACACAGCAAATTACCAATGGGTAGACTACAGTCATGGTTTTAAAATTTTAAGTCATATCAAGGGGGGAAGGGGGTATAAGGGGGATAAATGATAATGGGAAAAAATACAATACAAAATTCAACTCATACCAATGTATTGGGTTCGCCAAAAAGTCGGTTTAGTTTTTCCCGTAAAATAAGGCACATTCTTTAGTTTTGTTCTGTTTTTAATTTTTAAAAAAATTTTTAGACAGGGATGGGAAGGAGGGAGAGAAACATCAATGTGTGGCTGCCCCTTATGCGTCCCCCGCCACCAGGGACCCAACTCGCAACTCAG